TAGGGACCGTTCATAATTAATGGGGTGGGGTTGGTGATGATTTTTATGGAGAAGCATGTACAATGTGAATGACCTCACTACAATTAATGTTCAAAGTAAGTGACACCCCCTTTGCATATGTCATATTCAAAATCAATTAAACCCACCCCCATCCTATAATTTTAAACATAATCGTTTTTATGTACAAATTTGCTTACCCCCCTAGTACATGTGTACAATACTGATGACCCCTACCTTTCCAGAACAAAATAGGTGATCCCCCTTAAATTCACCATCACCTCACACCCCACATCCCCCAAATATATTTTGAACGGTCCCTTAGGCCATTATTCAATCCCCAAAATGTACAGTAAATTGGCATATTGCTTGCATATTTCTTAGTATCGTTTGGGACCCCACCCCAATCTTTACCATTTTTAAAGGTTGTCTCTTCTCTACACAAATAACCAGTACCATTTTGAAAACACAAGAATATTATTTGAAATTGTGTTTCAGGTGTTGCCAAATAATGTAACTAAGCAGGAGTGAAATACTGAAATATATATATAAACACATTGAACCATTACTGGAGGTCTGAACTATCTGATGCCAGAAGCAAGGGCGTATCGGGTTCATTGTCTTTAAAGGTGGGAGCCTTTTAGATTTGAATACAAATATTTCACATTTGTTATTCCAGCATGTGTGAAGGGTTTGCAAGATACACCAAGGCTCATCACAATTATAATGGGCTCACAGTGTCAGTGAACACAGTGTGGATTTGAAATATTGAAACAAGGAATAATATAGCTTTCGAATGGCAGCCTAAATGGTACAATTGAGATTCTACAATACATGTACTTAGGATTATTCTCATGTGTCAATTATCATCAGCCAAAAATCAACAAAGTATGGGTTGTCATTTCAGTTTTTATTGTTGAACATATTATATTCTGCATGTATGGGCATTCATAAATACACACATAAATACAGTAAAAAATGATGGTCTCCTTTGAAGAACCTTGATTAACACTTACACCAGATGCATGTTGATGTTTTCCACACTGACAATCGTACTGTCAATATTGCCTTACAAATAATTTTAGGTGACATGCATATGGACCCAAAATGGAAGTACAACAGTGAAGTCTGAATATTTTGACAGTCCTGTGTAAATGAAAATTGCTGCTGTACTAAGCATAATAGTTAGTAATGGAAGCACTGCATGTTTCTCTCTCTGTGTTGATACACAGGTACTTTGATATTTGGCCTCTGCCCAGTCTGGAGAGAAAATGTTTGGCTCAATATTCTTGCCATCAAAATATTCATGGGTGATTGTTTCAACATCACAAGTATCCACCAGCATTAAGTTTGTCAGTTGATACAGTCCAGGAAAAGAAATGGTCAAACAGCATCTGTTTTTCTCTGTTGCCTCAGAGTTGTTCATCCTGGAAAACACCAGTGGAGTATTACTATCCAAACTGATACAGGGTAATATTATCTCATGACTGCCAATTATGAGAAAATGTATCATTATCAGATTTAGGTTACTGTTGTGGAGAAAGACATGTCACATAATGAACATATTCATTTAAACAAGTCAAAGGTGGAAAACATTATTCTTAACAAATGTTTCAACTGTAGAGAAGCATAATTTAAATATGCTGACATTTTTTCCTTCTCTGAGTGGCATTTAGAATTTTGTGTGATGAACAACAAGGAGAGATCTATGGATATACAACTTCTTTAATATAATATGAACGACATTTCGGTGTAGCTACTAACACCGTTATCAAGCAAGTAAATCTCCTTGTTAATTTTGATCCATAGGGAGAAATGTCTGATACAAAGAAGAGTGTTCAACAAGTACAACAGACATTATTCATACAAGTTCATGCTAAAAGTAAACAAACATTAAACTGTTTCATGTGTATTCTGGAATCACATGGGCCTCATCTTTATGGACAACAGGCACCTGTAGGGAGATGTAATATGATGCATTAAAGGGAAAAAGTCAATTGTGTATTGTCATTCTTGGTAAACTTTAATTCAAGGGAGCAAAGGTGTTATAGTCAAACATAAAAAACAACATGTATATAATGATGTCAACCTGCTTTTTAAAAGCAAGAAGCAAATGAAAGTTAACCCACAGGTTCACATGAAAATTTACTTGTGAAATGCCAATTATCTTAAAACATTGAAAGTAATAAATTGGGTCTGTTCAAATTTACTTGCCTACTCTACCTACCTGTCATCAGGAGATATAATCATATGTGAAAATATCACAAACATTAGAATTTTAAGTAGATTAATCATGTAACTCAGAGTCAACCTGACAACTGTATTTAAGATGCATGACCAGGTGCTGTCATATTGATGTGCTGTATGAGAGAAGACAGGCCAGTAAGATCAACAGGCCATATCAAGTGATGGATGGTTTGCTAAGATATAATTGAAATATAGTTGAAAATAGATTCAATAGATAAACCTGAAATTATACTCCAATAGCTGTGTTTAAGTACGGTGGAAAATTTTGAAACAATGTTAACAATGAATAAAGCCTAACTACTACAGTTAGTACTACTACTACTACATCAACTGTTTCATAGCTGATCTTCACTGGGGACAGTGGGGTGCCGATATCACAAGATAACATCAATGACATTCTACAGATGGTGACGCATTGGGCTGCACCCTTTGTAAAGCGAAAAGATTGTGTACTGCAAGTTTTGATGATGACTACAGTGAGAGGCCCCTAATGTTTCGCGTGAAAAGTTTTGTGCAGCATGTGTGCCTCTTGAAGCAACACATTCTTTTTCCCTGAATCGATTCAAAACCCTGCTCGTAATTTCGGTTGGCATGCTCGTTAACTTAATTTGGCAAAGATAATAACAATAACAAACGTTTTCTTCAAAGTGTAAAAGATACAAAATACGCGATACTTACCATAATTAGTTACAGTAATGTCAGAAGTGGAAATGGCACACAACACTGAGAGTGAGACCAGCGAGAGCTGACGGCTACCTCGTCATGCTTTTGTTTCATTCGTCGCTACTTCGAACGATAATCAACCACCATTTCAGCAAGTTTTAACCACTCGGACACGTCGAACCTCTATTGCAGCATCCCGAGGCACGACAGCAAGTCTCAGGTATCGTAATTGCTGCGCAAATCGACCGTGCAACAAACTTTGAACGCCATCATTATACCGGAAGTAGACTTAGGACCGTAGTGATTGGCGCCATCTATTGGCGAAGCAGTAAACTGAGGAATGTTCCCCATTAGGATAAGAAAAATAAAGGATGAATGGTACATCATAAATGTATAATGTACGCGTACCCATGGGAATACATCTCATTTGCAAACTTCAACGTGCATCAAAAACCTAAAAATGACACGATTTGCTCTCCTGTAAACTCATCCATTTCTGATTTTACAAAAGTGTTAAAACAGTTAGGAAAAACGATACTCATAGAATATTTAACAATCAAACTTTAGTTGGGTTCAAAACTACGAAAAAAAGTTTAATAAAAAGCCCCAAATCATTTTATTTCTATTTCCGTGAGTATTATAGTTTCTTGTCACATGTAGCATGGCTTTCTAACGAAAGAAATATTTGGACCGGGACAATAACATTGACTCCCAGTGCAGTTGTAAAACAAATCTATTTCCCATACGGTTTTCTATACTTGGAAACATCGGAATCTCTGTACTTCTACACAGCAAAATTGTACGGTGTCTGGCACAAATACTTCAATTTTTCTGCAAATTTTGGGAATGCAACCGGTAGGGCAGGTCATGCTCACCCGCTTTCGAACACCTGGTGTTATCACTGGTGTTCAGTGATCCATTCATATGATCTTCACAGCTATTGTCCCTTTTCACTAAAGGCAATTTCTTTCCGAGGATAGTCAATACAGGTAATTCTTTTTAATGTTGACGTTCTATATTTAGCACAGCTCCCATGCATCGTGCCTTGTGTCATATTTTGAAAAGTCCTCCGAACTCTGTACCATGTCCAAAAATAAATGAACGAATACGAAAGCAGAAAAAAACCAAACAAAGAAAAAGAAGAGAAAAGCACACAACTGAAATCAATACATAACCGAACCCTGTTGAAAATATCTGTTTTCAGGCTTGTACACATTCCGTGAAAAGGGAGCGGGTATCTGAGGTATTGCTGGTTCTGTCTGTGCATACCCAAGAGCATGCTGTATTATGCATGTTAAAATCTGGATTCTTTTCTCCATCCGAGGTGTCAGTTCAATGTTATATCTCAACCAGTGTCAATACCATTTGTTAACCATTCCCAGCTTCTCATTTGCTGATTTAAAAGATATTCTCAAATACACGGAGAAGATTGATCCGTGCTCCCCGTGTCTAATCTCTGAAACAACCGCGAATCCACGGCCAGTGTTGACAAAGCAATCCTCTCGACAAGCAATCGCAATCATATGGTTTATTGCCAACCATTAACGCAACAGTCCATATGGGATGTTCGAGTTTGTTCACAGTATTGACAGCATCGATCTGCAGGCGGTGTTTGCTCTGAGACCGGGTGGTGTGGCGCCACGTTGTACCTCTGTAAGTGAATTAATCTTCATTAGCCGCGGGACGAAACCTTACGAAATGCCCTTTGTTTCATGGTGTTCCTTTTCCTGTCATGGTTTTTGGACTGATTTTCAATGATGCGCTTCCAGATATCACAATCCAGATTCTTTAATTAGTGATGTGTTAATGACCATCAAACCCTTAGAAGCCACCTGTTGATTCATGTCATTGTGTGGACTTCATTGTTTGTTAACGTCATCAATTTCAGCCTATCCCCATTGGACAGAATATTGGCATGGGACGATGGCTTGGAATGTTGCATCATGGGAGTGGGTGTGAATGAGTCATATGGAAACCCAGCTTGCACGTGGTGATGTGGCTAACAGGATGTCAACTAATATAACAGCGGTATGTGAATTTCAATACAGTCAACACTTTGCAGATCCCGGACACACTGCTGAGAAGTACAATCAGTGCCAAATGAATTCCACCGGGGGCGAAAACACAATGACTATGAATGCTACCGGAAACGAAAACACTACGACTTTAATGATAACATTTTGTGTTTTGGTGTTTATGATATCTCTTTTATCGCTGGTTGGGAACATCTTGGTATTAGCCGCCATCATCAGAAGTCGAAGACTTCATACAACGTCCAATGTGTACGTATGTGCTCTGGCAGTAACTGATATCTTCATCACTGTTGTACACGCTGTTAAGTACACATTGAGAGCACTCGAAGTCAACTTGTCGTTCATCCCCTGCTGTGTAATTGTAGGTATGTCTCTCTTGGGATGTTCCACCAACCTTATGCTGATTGAGGCCATCAGTGTGGACAGATTCTATGCTATATATTGGCCATTCAAGTACAGAAAGAAGTGCACGAAGTCCAGAGCTATTAAACTGTGCGTATTTATTATGATTTTTTCTTTCGCAAGTGAATCAGTTCTAGTCATGATCTTTCATTCTAAAACTCTGCAAACGACTTGTTGGTCTGAAGAGATTCTTACAGCGCCAATAGCGACGACTTTTACCATAGTGATATGTTGTGTTGCCCTGGAATTAACGGTCATGTACGGGGCGATGTTCTACAAGGCTGTAGAGCACCAACGAAACTTGTCCATTGGCTACTTCAGTAAGAACAAAGGTAAGTTGGAACATCAGTAAATCAAAAGGAAGTCGTTTTAAAGTCATGTAAATGATGCACAGTGGATGTAACTAATGTAAGCGAATTCATGGTTCCCTATATTCCGGAATGTAATTTCTGAAATTACTCTCAGTAAAACCTGGTCGAAGATTTGCGTATTGTTGTTTTGTATTGATTTTGCTTGGTTGTTGTAGAATAGAAAATGTTATGCTATTTAGGCACTTAGTGTTATGTAAAAAGGTATCGATTTTTCACGGTGCAGGCGTTCTTGATGGAGATAAGGCTACGTGTGATTTCATCAACACCTGGTGTCATGACTGGCAGTGACCAATCACATAATGTTGCAGGGGGGCGCGGTGGGCGAGCCGGCTAATGTTCACCGAGATGAGTTTGCCTTTGTGCCTCCCTATGGATTCAACTTTGTGTCAGTACAGAATCGAGTGCTCTAGATTTACGAAGGAAGCAATTTAGGTGCACGTTCAATTATTCAAACCTCTCGCCCAGAGTTGTTACTCCCCATTCTCCATTGTGTGCTTTAGAAAGTGGACAAACTCGTCCCAGATAATGAGTAATCAGACAACTCAAGTTTTCAAATATCTGTTTGTTTCATTCTCCGTGTGTTTTAGAAAGTGGACAAACTCGTAGATAATGAGTAATCAGCAAACTCTTTTCGATTTTCAGATTTGAGTATATTTGACATCAAAGCCTTGAAGACATGTAGTGTTGTTCTGGGAGCTTTCCTTATCATGTGGTTCCCACCTTTATCCATGTTCAATGTAATCGCCTACTCATCCAGCCCCTCGGACTATGACCTGGCGTTGCTGGCATGTATGGTGTTCCCGGTCGTCAACACTGCCGTGGATCCTGTGGTATACGCCATCATGCGGAAGGACATCAAGAAAGGCATTCGTAGGCTGTTCAGGAGGCTTGAAAGGCAGCCAACCACCATTGAACATTGTGAGTTAAGCATCAAGAAGGCAATTACAGGTTGTTCAGGAGACCAGAAAGGCAGCCAACCATCATTGAACAGTGTGAGTGAAGCATCAAGAATGCAATTACAGGTTGTTCAGGAGACCAGAAAGGCAGCCAACCATCAGTGAACAGTGTGAGTGAAGCATCAAGAAGGCAATTACAGGTTATTCAGGAGACCAGAAAGGCAGCCAACCATCATTGAACAGTGTGAGTGAAGCATCAAGAAGGCAATTACAGGTTGTTCAGGAGACAAGAAAGGCAGCCAACCATCACTGAACACTGCCGTGTCCTGTGGTGTACGCCATCAAGAGAAGGACATCAAGAGGGGCATTTGTAGGCTGTTTAGGAGACCAGAAAGGCAACCATCCACCACTGAACGGTATGAGTAAAGTATCGAGAAGGCATTTTTGGCTGTTTAAAAGACCAGCAAGGCAGACAGACACCATTGGACAGTGTGAGTAAAGCATCAAGAAAGGAATTTGCTGGCTGTTCAGGAGACCTGAAAGACAGTCACAAGTTTGAAGCATGAATGAAACCTTCAAGAAGACCTGTGATTAGATCTTACTACTGGGTTCATTATTTTTATTTGAAAACTTGTGTGTAAACTAACTTGACACAACCCCATAAATGTCTCCGGTAAGTCTATTAAAACCGCTTTTATCGGACACTTGGGAAATATTAATTATCGTAATGATCGAAAACGCCAAGAATTGTTTTGAAGGAAAATTAATGACACGTTTTCAGTGTAACGATTTGTACTATACTTTATATGATATCATCTATGTGTATTGACTTCCTAGTCAGTATGGAATTGATTATGAAAACGAGAAGATTACATGTATTATGAAAAGCTTACACGTTGTACATGTTTTTAACAATCATGATGTCAACTTGTTTATGACACGGAAAAAACCCAGTGCAAAGTGCATATTAAATTTCATATTGTCACACAGCAGCAAGTCTTATTTTTCAAACGGTTGTGAACTACCAATTTCACGTACTATTAGTTTAGAATCATGGTGATCAAGTGAGTAAGGTATTTTGTGGCTCTAATATGTAGTCAGGCAACATTCAGACATAGGCACCAATTCATGTGTGGGTTCACACTCCTTGGATTTGGTGTGCCAATATACTAACCCTCCTTATAAGGTCGTTATAGTGCACAAAAAGAATCCCAGCTTCTACCAATTGCGCATGGAAAAGTTTCTGAAGGAAACGTCAAGTTGTGAAATACTTCCATTCAAATACATGCACGAATTACACCTGTTAGTGTATGGAGTATTTTCTATATATTCTAAAAAGAAAATGTTATTTTTGTATAATGTCAGTACACAGACATGTTCAGATCACTTAATCCTTGTTGGGAGTGGAACACAGAACCACACTAATGAAGATCCGGGTTAGAATTGATCTTTAGCAACCGATGCTTGTTGCTGGATCGGATCGTTTCATTTCATTCCATCGTTTGGGAGGTGGTATGTATGGCCATTAAAGTGCCTGTAAGTTACAACACACAAATGTTTGCCCTTGCAGACTGCACTCCGATATACCTGTTCCATTTGCATAGATACTGTTGTTTTAATCAGAACAACTTCTTTATTGTGGTGTTTCGGTGAAGGGAAACATCAACACCACTCAACTTTCGCATTAAAGAACACAATACATCCACAAACAACCCAGACACCAAATCAACCATTTCAAAACACATCATCAAATTTCCTAAGCACAGCGTCAATTGGGACACTGGCAAAACACTAGCAAACAATCATCACACTTCAAGAAAATTGATTGAAGCATAACACATAAAAAGACGAAGAAAACGAAGAAACAAACAAAACAACAACAACAACAACAACCCCCACCCTCCACACACGAACAAACAAGCAAGAAAAACAACCCCAACAACAATCGAACCAAAAAATAACAAGCCATCATGCAAATGTTTTGTAACGCCAAACCTCTGTTTAATGTGAATGACCGCGATATACATGGCTGTCCGGAAACGTCCGATGTACGAAAACAGAATATAATCCAATATGATACTAATGATTGAAACAGTTTGTGAAGTTATTATTGCTGACCTAGGTATTGATGGGAATCAACGCCAGTATTATTTTGTGGTGTTAACGCCATAAACGCAAAACCACCGCTCAAAAAAAATCAGAACTGAAGTCTGCACCATAGGCGTCCCCACCATGCCCCAAAATAAATGAACGAATACGTAAGAAGAAAACTACCCCCACCACATCCCTACACCCCCCACCCCACCCCCAAAAAGAAAAGAAAGTACAACAGATAAAGAAGAGAAAAGCAACCAATTGAAATCAATACATAACCGAACAACATATTCTATTTTGCATGTTAAAATCTGAATTCTTTTCAAACTAGCGCTGCCTCGTCTCCGTCCGAGGTGTCAGTTCAATGTTATATCTCAACCTGTGTCAATACCATTTGTTAACAATGCCTAGTATGAAAGCTTCTCATTTGCTGAAGTACACTGATGATTTAAAAGATATTCTCAAATACACGGAGAAGATTGGTCTGTGCTCCCCGTGTCTAATCTCTGAAACAACCATGAATCCACGGCCAGTGTTGACAAAGCAATCCTCTCGACAAGCAGTCACAATCACATGGTTTATTGCCAACCATTAACGCAACAGTCCATATGGGATGTTCGAGTTTGTTCACAGTATTGACAGCATCGATCTGCAGGCGGTGTTTGCTCTTAGCCCGGGTGGTGTGGCGATACGTTGTACCTCTGTAAGTAAATTAAGCTTCATAGCCTGGATTAGCCGTAGGACAAAACCATATAAAAGGCCCATTGTTCCAGAGTGTTCCTTTTTCCGTCATGGTTTTGGGACCAGATTCCAGATGACAATCCAGATTCTGTGATCACTAATGTGTTAATGACCATCAAACACTTAGAAGACACATGCTGATTCATGTCATAGTGTGGACTTCATTGTTTGTTAACGTCATCATTTTCACCCATGGCTTGGAATCTTGCATCATGGGAGTGTGAATGAGTAATATGGACACCCAGGATGGACGTGGTGATGTGGCTAACAGGAAGTGAACTAATATAACAGCGGTATGTGAATTTCAATACAGTCAACGTTTTGTAGATCCCGGACACACTGCTGAGAAGTACAATCAGTGCCAAATGAATTCCACCGGGGACGACCACACAATGACTATGAATTCTACCGGAAACGAAAACACTACGACTTTAATGATAACATTTTGTGTTTTGGTGTTTATGATATCTCTATTATCGCTGGTTGGGAACATCTTGGTATTAGCCGCCATCGTCAGAAGTCGAAGACTCCATACAACGTCCAATGTGTACATATGCGCCTTGGCAGTGACCGACATCTTCATCAGTGTTGTACACGCAGTTAGGTACGCATTGAGAGCACTCGAAGTCAACTTGTCGTTCATCCCCTGCTGTGTAATTGTAGGTATGTCTCTCTTGGGATGTTCCACCAACCTTATGCTAATTGAGGCCATCAGTGTGGACAGATTCTATGCTATATATTGGCCATTCAAGTACAGAAAGAAGTGCACGAAGTCCAGAGCTATTAAACTGTGCGTATTTATCATGATTTTTACTTTCGCAAGTGAATCAATTTTAGTGATGATCTTTCACCCTAAGACACTGAAAACAGCTTGTTGGTCTGGAGAGATTCTTACAGCGCCAATAGCGACGACTTTTACCATAGTGACATGTTGTGTTGCCCTGGAATTAACGGTCATGTACGGGGCGATGTTCTACAAAGCTGTAGAGCACCAACGAAACTTGTCCATTGGCTACTTCAGTAAGAACAAAGGTAAGTTGGAACATCAGTAAATCAGAAGAAAGTTGTTTAAACTTATGTCAATGTGATATACAGTGGATGTAACTAATGTAAGCGAATTCATGGTTCCTTATATTCAGGTTTGTAATTTCTGAAATTACTCTTTCAGTAACATCTGGTCGAACATTTGTGTTTTGCATGATTGATTTTGCTTGGTTGTTGTAGAACAGAAAATGAACTACTATTTAGGCACTTAGTGTTATGTAGAAAGGTATCGATTTTTCTCGATGCAGGCGTTCTTGATGGAGATAAGGTGACGTGTGATTTCACCAGCACCTAGCGTCATGACTGACACATAATGTTCACCGATTGTTTGCCTTTGGTCGCATGGATTCCGTGTCAGTATAGAATCGAGTGCTCTGGCTTTTACGAAGGAAACAATTAAGATGCACGTTCAAGTATTCAAATATCTGTCCAAAGTTGTTTCATTCTCCTTGTGTGCTTTAGAAAGTGGACAAACTCGTAGATAATGAGTAATCAGAAAACTCTTTTCGATTTTCAGATTTGAGTATATTTGACATCAAAGCCTTGAAGACATGTAGTGTTGTTCTAGGAGCTTTCCTTGTGATGTGGTTCCCACCTTTATCCATGTTCAATGTAATCGCCTACTCGTCCAGCCCCTCGGACTATGACCTGGCGATATCGGTATGTATGGTGTTCCCGGTCGTCAACACTGCCGTGGATCCTGTGGTGTACGCCATCATGCGGAAGGACATCAAGGAAGGCATTCGTAAGCTGTTTAGGAGACTTGAAAGGTAGCCAACCACCATTGAACATTGTGAGTAAAGCATCAAGAAGGGAATTTACAGGCTTTTCAGGAGACCTGAAAGACAGTCACAAGTTTGAAGTATGAATGAAACCTTCAAGAAGACCTGTGATTAGATCTTACTACTGGGTTCATTATTTTAATTCGAAAACTTGTGTGTAAACTAACTTGACGCAACCCTATAAATGTCTCCGGTAAGTCTATTGAAGCCTTTTCTATCTGACACTTGGGAAATATTAATTATCGTAATGATCGAAAACGCCAAGAATTGTTTTGAAGGAAAGTTAATGACACGTTTTCAATGTAACGATTTGTACTATGCTTTATATGATATCATCTATGTGTATTGACGTCCCTGTCATTATGGAATTGATAATGAAAACGAGAACATTACATTCATTATGAAAAGCTTACACGTTGTACATGTTTTTAACATTCATGATGTCAACGTGTTTGTGACACGGAAAAGAAGTGCAAAGTGCATATTAAATTCAATATTGTCACACAGCAGCAAGTCTCATTATTCAAACGGTTGTGAACTAAACTGAGGGGCAAAAGAAACGCTGGCTTCTAATTTTCTCATCCAACAAAAACATATCACAAGGTATGGCAACAGATATCATTGTATTTCACAGACACAACAATAAACATCAGGTTGACCGACTTTAACAACCACATGATGACATTGTAAAGAATAGTGAGCATTCTTGTAACAGGTGTTGAATTGTCCATAATTCGTTCACATTCCATTTCATGTTATCGTTACACAAATCAGTTAAAAGTCACATTCCGTCATCAATAGCGAGTGTGTCCACCTCTAGCAAGTATGCAGTCTCTGACACGACGTCGTACAGACGTTACCAGTTTCCTCACAATGGCTGGAGTGATGTGACGCCACTCTTCTTGCAGTTCCTGCGTCAACGTCTGTCTGTCATGTGGACGTTGCTGACGTTGCCGAATCCGTCTCCCAAGATGGTCCCAGAGGTGTTCTATGGGATTCATGTCAGGGGATCTGGCTGGTCACAGAAGAACTTGTATGTTGCTGACATTGAATAATCTCTGGTAACGCGTGCAGTGTGTGGAGTGGCGTTATCCTGTTGGAACAGTGTTCTTGGGTTATTCTGCAGGAATGGAAGCACGACTGGTGTCAATACCTGGTTGATGTAGCGGTCAGCGTTGAGGGTACCATTTATAACCACCAGGTCGGTCTTAGTGTCACCACAAATGCCACCCCAGATCATCACACCACTGCCGCCATGTGGATGCACTTCTTGGACGCAGCAACGTGACGTTCGTTCGCCTCTACGCGGGTAAACTCGCACTCG